AAGTTATGGTTCATTAGCTACCTATTTCTCCAAGACATCACCATAAGCGTTTTTCATCGGTGCTGGACCTAGTGATATCAATATTAAACACATAAAGAAAAATACATACAAAAGAAGTACAAAGAAGTACAACTAAAGGTTTCCAAAGCATTTCTCTTTTAATTGTGGGCCAACATTTTATCAACAGTCTCATAGATTGTTTATATTTCACTGCGACGATCATTCACATACATCCAAAACAAACACAAAGTTCTACTACAAGTACCTGGTCTAGTTGCACGCTGTCTTTTATGGATGTTGTTATCTTGCTCGCTTGTACTTCCTTCCGACCACACTGATGATGAAATATCAGACTGATAGGTATCCACTGAAGAATGGTAATCATCGGCATCTTGGAGAGCTGGACGTTCTTCTTTCATATTCTGAAAAGTTCCAAAAAGCTTTTAAGGCACGGTAATACGAGCAGCAAAAGCAAAATCGTCCAACTTGTCTCGCAACAGTGCTGCAAAGCAAGTTGGAAAGGGATGCTGCGCGTTTTACTACTGGCGAACCAAATTGTCTCGCAGAAAAAAAAATTGTTGCAGGTTGAAAAAATTTGTTGAAGAAAATAGAAGATCGCTTTTCTTTTTGCAACATAATCCATCGATGTTGCGCATATTACCACAACAACACAACTTGTCTCGCATAAAATGACTCCGTCTCACGACAATCTGCTAACTGTATTGGCCTATCAGAAATAAGGATTTGCGCAATCTGCACCTAAAATTCCGATCATGTTGATTTTAATGCGAAAAGAAACTTTCACGTCTGTCCAGTTTTGGTATGAAAATTTCTTGGTGATTGAGAATATTGCCGAGACGCATTTTGCGATGAAACATTCACGGTGCTTCAAAGCCATTATCCAGTCCAGTCCAGTCCAAACCTCATTTGGAAGGCATGAATGTCTTCTCGCCAAAAATGAATACTTTCAACAGGAACCACCTAACTCCTCTATTAGATGTCTAAGGCACTAAACCTGCCTATATTACATTTGATCTTTCATCCCCGCCCCCTATGGAGCAAGCATCAAATAAGTCGAGTAAAAAGAATCAATGTACCTGAGGCTGTTGTGCATTGACAGGCTGTCGTGGTGAAACCTGCATCCATTGATTWCGATTAAATCTTCTAAGTTCTTCATAACTAGTGTATCTATCGGACTGTTTGGTGTTGTCATCTTCTATTTCAGGCAGACTGGACATCTCAAATGATTTACCAATATTCCCTTCATTTCTACTGGGATAGCCTTGCGTTTCATCACCAAAACCTGATAAGAAGCGCAGACATGATCAGCTTAAGGCAAACTAATTGAGAAGCCACTGATGATAGCTRCATGTGTGTGTCAGGGTGATACAGGACTTTCAAATAGGGTGGAAAAAATTCCGTTATGAAGCATCCCTCGAAACCGCCTTTTGATTGCTTCGTTGGTACCGAACAATCTATTGTTTGCCATTGTTTCTCAACAGATTATGAGATTCGTTCCGAGAGCAAGGGCGGATCCAGGGAGGGGCAAATGGGGGCCCCCCTCTGAGCAGAAGAAGTAAATTGATTTTTATTATTTTCAATGTTGTTTATAACAAATAAAGACCATTTAGCCCCCCTTAAAATTTCAGCTGGATCCGCCCTTGGAGAGCTGGTCATATGACCAAAGCAAGTCAATGCCAAACAAGGCAAATAGACATATAACGGAATTCAAAAGACTGCAGCTCGTAACAGAATTTGATAGACTCGATATTTCGGCTCACTGTGAACATTCCGAAGTTCTGATGTATATTCATAAAATCAAGAACAATCTTGCTTCAGACAGTATTTCATACAAGTAGTTGTTAACTCGGACAATGATCCTTATTATTTTTCATCATTTGCAAAACGTTATGAATTCTAGCACATGTTGAAACGGGTTGGAAAGTTGTTCAATGAACAGTTCGCGGCAATGCAAATTAAAATGAATTGGGAGATGAGATTGGCTCAAGTATTAACGTTAATGAAACATCATCACTTTCAAAAACTGAACATGGGTATTTCGAGCCTCCTACCTGATTGACTTTCGAAATCTTCAGTAATATTTCGATCGGTCATCTGTTCAGTCATTCCAGCTCTATAATCAAAGAACAGAGTTTTTAAAAGCTAGGCAACTTCTTCAAAGGAGAGAAAACTGAAATTTGGACAAAAAAAAAAACAAACAACACAACAACCACAAGAGTCAAGTGAGCCTGCTACAATATTTATCACTATCATCGTTGTCTTTATTGATATTGTTATTATCATACATGATAGAAAGATATTGAGAGTTAATTGGGAATTGTAAGGGAAGTATGGTTTAGCGGGGGTGATGTGTGGTATAATTGCCAGATAAGTGAGGATTCCAAAGTAAAATTGACAATTCTTGGTGGGATAGGAGCGTTCAAGCAACACAGAAGATTGATCGCAATCATCTAGATGTAATTAYGATGAATCAGCCGGTGAAAGAGCTGATCTAGTGTTGATTTCCCCGTGYCTTATGATAAGAATATGTAATGCTGAAGGTGGAGGGAAAGATCAAATACAGTGCTAATCTTTTAATTCAAGTAATAATATTCTATATTTGGACAGTTTTATTGTGTCCAAAGACAGTTGTTTTTACAAATCAAATTCTCATAATCGTTTCTCATCAACAAAATTCCTACAATTTGTTTCCTCAATATACCACTTAAAAATAATTGATATCTCCATTTTCTTCAAATTCTAGGATCATCTATCATATTAAAATAGTATGCCGCAAAAAGTTGAATTGGATTCATTCTCGTTTTTAACATTATATAAATTTCCCAACAATTCTTAGTCTATATCAAGATTTGTGAGAACGTTGGTCATCAATAGAACTGTAGAATTCCTAATCCACATCGTCAACTTGTCCGGGTTTGGCTTTGATCTTGGCTGTTGAATGTAGGTGCACCATAATAGAGTTGACTTTCTGTGACTATTTTTTCTTTTTAAATGTAAATTGTGACTCTCAATGTATTTGTTCATCRCAGGGACACATAGTGTAGCAAATAATGTGCCTCCATCCAGCATGTTTTTAGTTTTCCTTTTACCATCATCACCTCTAAATTACTTGAATGAATGCTCCAGGTAGTTTTGCATAAGACTGTCTTCACAAAAATTCTTAACGCGTTCAATGTCCTCATTCAGGTTAATTTCCTTCCTTTTGTGRGCTTGCTTTAAACGTGCCCTGGGTTGGTAATCATCAACTTCTCTTCTAACATCTTCTGTATCAATAGGTTTTTCCTTGACAGGGTAGTTAGTGGCACACTGGCAGTTAACTGATACCTGGGACTGGGCGAGAAGTCAGGTACTGACTCGTTTTCACAATATTCACGGAACATTCCTCTAGATACCATGCATGACTTTATTGTATCATCTAACTTTTTAAAGTAGTTGTTCTCTCTTGCCATGTCTGACTTTGCAGCGTGATCACTGATGTTCCTTCTCATTGGTAACACATGCTTTCAAGTCTCCAGCAGTCCCCAGACTCACCATCTGTTCTTGAAACAACATTCTGGCCAACTTGCCATGCATTGCTCTCAATCACTTCTTGCTTCTAGCTTCTTTATTTCTTCGACAGTATTTTGCCTTTGAGAAGGGCTTCTTTGCTAGAAATGCTCAAGAAATTGTTAAGCAGTACCTGTCTTTTAAACCTAATGACCTGATATTGAAGAAAATATAGAAACTGATGATGAAGATGATACGATTTACGGTAATTTCACCCCCCGGTAATTCTGCCCCCAATCTTTCCAGGTAAACTCGCCCCCGTATTAGGTAACTTCGCCCCCGTATCAGGTATCTTCGCCCCAAATCTGATATGTAGCTATGATACTCATAGCGATAAACAATGACAACATCAGTTGATAAACTCTTGATCCTACATTCACGGTGGGGCGGTTTTTGGATGATTAGAATACAGTAGCTGATAACCAAGTACAACAAATAGAAGTTGTTAATATTCCTTGATGTCAAGGATGTTATTATAAGTAATAACATGGCTTCCTTGGGAGATTAGGGATTAAATGTCCCCRAAGCCGAGGGCAGATAAGTTGAAGTCCCGACGGCCGYAGGTATTATTGGTATTATAGGTATTATTGATCATAGTGTTGTTAGATTATATATTATATATTGGAATATAACGTGATGAACCTAAATGATGTTTTGTTGTTCCTAATAGGGTTCTTTTTTAAACCAATATATTAAAAATATATCCCTCTAGTTAATATCTCAGATACCTACATGTATATTTGGTTACCTGATGACCCCCCTCCATGTTTCATACAATTTTTTAATGAAACTGGCTTTTCATCATCTCAAAAAGTTACACCCATCCCCTTTTTTCCAACTCATCTCACCCTGCTAATTTCTGAAAAGTCACTTACTTTTTATAAAATGATCGCACTTGATCTGCAAGCTGAGAGTTTTCCAAGCGCATGATTTTTTCCATACATGTTTTACGGTACGATGCAATACCAGATAGAAACCCAAAAGCAAAAATACCTAAAGAAAAAYGACAAAAAATATATAGATGACATTGAATGTATTAAAATCCTATATATACAGGTTTGTGTTTAAGTCTGGTTTTTCAGTGTTCAATTCAATTTAGTATCATTCAGCATAGCAACTAACTTTGGTTTCACACCAAATCATATTCATATTGTTCAAAAAATACAGCACTGTGTAACCTAGATCATATAGCCTTTCTTTTAATGCAAATTAAAGTTCATTTTTTTCATGTCAGACTTAAACAATAAAAATGTACTCCTATTCCAGACAAAAACCATACCCTTTCCAAGACAAATGTCAAAAAGGGTTACTATACCCCAATATAAAATTAGCATGTCAAACATTTACCAATTTTAACCATGCCCATAGTAGATTATCCTTCCTGCTTACTCATTAGAATTAAGGTATGGAGTCACCCCTGATGAGTAGGCTCGCAGGAATAAAACCAATGAGTAGTATAGGCAGGTAGGGTTGGGAGGGGGGAGGTGGCTCGACCTGAAGTACCTTCGCACCAACTGAAACGATCAAGCTGTGAAGACCTCATATCGTGTTTCACAAACAAAGCATCAAATATTCCCGCGAATTTATGAAGTTCTTGGTSACTTCTCTCATAGAAATACAATGGTTTGAACATTTATAACACACACAAGTTATTAATTACCGTATTTACCCATGTATAAGCCGCACTTTTTTTCCAAAAAAATCGTTCCCAAATCGGGGGTGCGGCTTATCTACGAGAAGACTATGCCCGATAAAAACTAATTTGCATAAATTAGCATTCACGGTGCTACTTTTACTGCAGACAGGACATCAGTAATGTGATAAGTATGTTTTACACGGCGGGAACAGAAATTTTAATCCAAACTTCTCAGTATTACTATAAATTCTCCGAAAATCTAGCTCTGGGAAACACAAGTCAATAAATCAAACTGAAATGTGCGTGGTTATTGAGCCAATGAACAGAGAGCATTTTCAATCGTTTTGTCTTGGAGTTGTTTTGGTAAYGYGATRCTAATTTGCATTGTTCATTTAAGCGACTTTGTCACACTTAAAGTGAAGAATCCAGGGTAAATATTTTGAATACTCAAGAAATAAGCCAAAGAAATTGTTCCTTATATTAAACAAATACAATCTGCTTTAATATCTTTTTGAAATACGAAACGGTTTCGGCATGATCCTTATGTTTAGAAGTTTGGCGGCACTATGAGATTTATACCACTTAAAAGTTGATTACGAGTTTGCTTTTACCTTTTGAATGAAAAACAACTCATCTTTAAATATAGTATCAGTTATCAATCTTAACAATTATGTCTCCAAGATCATCATACACCGCATGTTAAATAAACTGATTGTAATTGCATTATACGAAATGCATGGATCACGGAAATCGAGTAGCGGAAAAGCACTTCAAAATCAAAGAAAGCTGTGATTGCAAGTGACGATGAAAAAGAGAAAAGTTTATTTTCCGTCTCTTTTTCCTCAAAAACGTTCCTAAAACTCGGGGTGCGGCTTATCCACGAGAGCGGCTTATACATGGGTAAATACGGTATACCAAAATAAATCACTAAGCGCCAGAGGAGTTGAGAATTTCTTTGAGGCATGAGCCTTTCCTCAGACCTTAAGTCCGTAATGGCTCTATTGGGAGAGGGGTGGGTGGAGGAGTCGTAACAAGAGTTCAATTCGCAGATTTTTTTAATCCCACCCACAAAACACCATTAATTACCTGGATAATAAAAACTGGAAAATCTCTTCACATGAGG